ACATTGTCTTGTGGACTTCTTAAAGTCAAAGCCATTGAATACGCTGTGAATGTGAATGGCTTATAGACATTTTAGAAATTCAAATTAAATTTCATATTTTTTTATGATCGTGTTTGGAAAGGTTAAAGACTGCATTTCAAAATTTTATAAATGTTGTGAAGTCAAGGAGTGTTTATATATTTTTATATTGATACGCTCTAGATTTTTGTGATTCTAAAATGAAAAGAAATCGAATGTTTACTCCAGCTGTTTTCTGCTTGCTTTAATGCCGTTTTCAGGGCTCGATTTGGTAGCAATGTTTTAAATTTTTTTTCAAAAAGGTACAATCTTGAAATTTTGCATGAGGGTCTGTCTTGGTGCGTAGGCATGTGAAAAGGCTGAATTTTTTTGGAATTCATACTAAATGGGTACGAAAAGTACTAAGAATTGAATATTTTTGGTATTGGACAAACGTTCTTAAATGCTCTTAAACTTCTAAAATGGTACCATTTGGTATTATGAGAACGAATGAAGATAAAAATGGGTTTGGAAATGGGATCTAAGTGAGAAGAGGAACAGTACTAAGTTTGGAACAGTTTGGTTTATGGTGAACGAATGAAGCTGGAATTTTGATCTGGGGCACTAAGAGAGGAGGTTTTGAAAATGTGTACTACAACTGCATGAAAAGTATAAATAGTACTATATTTGGTACACTTTGGTACTACAAATAGTGCTTGAAACTGAAAATTGGTATTAGGATCGCTATTTATGTATAGCCTGGACCTATGAAGGTGGTTTCGAAAATGTGTACTATAATTGTTTGGACATAACTAAATGGTAGTGTATTTTGTATAGGGTGAGATAGAAATCTGAAATTTGACATTTAGATTACTGATGGCATCTGCGTTTGAGATTAGGCGGTGGTTTGGGAATGCGTGCCATATTTGTACAAAAAGTACTAAATGGCACTAAATTTGGTACCATTGCTTCAAGGGATAGGGAGATATGGAGATGGTTTTGGAAATGTGTACGATAATTGTGCGAAAAGTACTGAATAGTACTAAATCTGATATTGGGTGAAAGAATAAAGTTGAAATCTTGAAATTTTATATAGACATCGCTGTTGGTGACTGTGGTTAGGATATGGATGTATTTTTGGAAATATCTACCATCGCTGTTCATGTGTAGCCTTGGTTTTGAAAGTGTGTATTATAAATATACGAAAAGTACTAAATTGGGTCTTGCTTGAAGGGTAAGAGATAAAATTCTTTAATTTGATATTTAGATTACTGATAATAACTGCCTTTGAGCTTTGAGGAGGTTGTTTGGAAATTTGTCCTACATTTTTACAAAAGTTCTAAATTCTGTATTGGGTGGAGGGAGATGGCTAGAATTTTATATCGAGGTCTCTGTTTAATGTTTTAATTTTAAAAAAATGTCTAACTGAATAAATTATGCATTTTGAGTACTAAAAAAAAGACCTAACACGAATTTTTGAAATGAATCTTAAATTTTAAGGTTGAAATTTCGCTGACGAAGTACCGGACATTTGCTAGTAATGGTTGTTTTGAAAATTGTTGCTGCAATAAGTTATTTTATCAGGTTTATCCGATTGGAATCACTTTTCACATGCAACACAATTGAAACGAGATAGACCCACTAGACTCTGAGTCGATTAATGCATATCAGTCCGTCTGCCTAATCTGTCCGTCCATTTATTTTTGCGAAAAAAAAAAATGCTGGTCGCATTTATTATCCGATTGAGATGAACATTTCCAAACAATATTTGACGAATCCAATATCAGTGCAAATGACCCGAATTTAGGCACATCCAACCAAATTCAGTCTAGAAGCAAGTACATCAAATTTGCTGAAAATCGGTTCAGATATAGCTCTCATACACATTTTTAATCCGATTTCAGATTTATTAGGCAAATAACGGCTACATTCTGTATTTTTAAATTTTTAACAGAATTGTTAATTAATTTTTTTTTATTTGAAAATTGCCAAATTCGTTCCAAATGGGGGAGGGTATCATAAGTTCAGCCCGGCTGAACTTACAGCTTTATTATACCCTACACCACAAGGTGGTCAGGGTATTATGTCTTTGTGCATTTGTTTGTAACAGGCAGAAGGAAACGAGATAGACCCATAGTTCCTTTTTATGATCTGCATAGAATCACATTCTGAGTCGATTTATGCATGTCCGTCCGTCTGTCCGTCCGTCTGCCCGATCCAGATGAAATTTTGCAAAGATCTTTTGTTTGGCCCAAGGACGAACCCTATTGAAATTGGAGATAATCGGTCAAAATTTAGATATAGCTCTCATATATATCTTCGTCCGATTTGCCTTTTATTGTGCACCAAACGTGTAATATCAGCACGAATTGCATGGAATTTTGCATATACACCCAAATTAGGCCTGAAAATATGTATGCCAAATTTGATCGAAATCGGTTCAGATATAGCTATAGCTCCCATATATATTGTTCATCCGATTTGTTATTTTTGTCCACCGCCGCCGTAACATGCACTATGTAACAACAATATTTGGGGAAATATATCAAATACAGCTCAGAAATACATTTGCTAAATTTTATCGAGATCAGGTCAGATTTGGATAAAGCTTCCATATATAACTTCGTCCGATTTACCTTTTATTGTGCACCAAACGTCTAATATATGTCCAAATGGGATGAAATTTGGCACTTACGACCTAATTGAGTCTAGAAGCTAGTATGTCAAATTTGGTGAAGATCGGTTCAGATATAGCTATAGCTTCCATATATATTTTTCATCCGATTTGTTATATTTGTTACCCACAACCGTAATATGCACTCCGTAACAACGATATTCAGGGAAATATATCAAATACAGCTCATAAATATATTTGCCAAAATTTATCGAGATCGGTTCTGATTTGGATATAGCTCCCATATATATCTTTATCCGATTTCAAATTAATTGTGCACCAAATGGGCAATACAATTCCGAATTTAAAAGATACAAATGCTTCGGCATATTTAGTTCTTTGAATTTTAAATTATAATTATAATCATAGCGTGTATGATTGAATTCTCCCATAAAAACTTTTAATTGTTATGTGGAGCTCTACTTAATTAGCAAAGTGGTGTAAGGTATCATAAAGTCGGCCCCGCCCGACTTAAAGACTTTCTTTACTGGTTTTTATTTCTTAATTTTCAATAGATGTGTTTTTGTCAAGATTTTTGCTTCGATAACAGTTCCCAGCCTTGTAAGAGTCACAGATTTCACTGATTTTCAGGATATCTATCTCCTCGAAAAAATTAATTAAATTTTTTTTTTGATCTTTCACAGTTTTTTTTTTCTCACTTAACATATATTTTTTGTGATATTATCCAAATTTTAATGTAACATTTTCAAAAAAATCGTTATTCCATCTAGAATTTGCAATTGAAGGTTTGTGTCTTAAGTCTTTTGTTTCGATCACATTTTCCATCCAAAGAAGCTGTAAATTCATCGGTGTTATAAATTTCTATTTTATATTTTTCAAAAGAAAAAACAAAATATTTTTTTAAATGTTGACTTTTTATAAATTTTCAAACAATTTTGTGAAAAGTTTGTCTCTTAAGTCTTTCGTTTTTTATTCGGAGTTGTTGGCATATCATATAGTTTTATTAATAATGTCCCAATTGAAGGTTTCTGTCTTAAGTCTTTTGTTTCGATCAGATTTTCCATCCAAAGAAACCGTAAATTCACCGGTGTTATAAATTTTTATTTTATATTTTTCAAAAGAAAAAAACAAAATATTTTGTTAAATTTTGACTTTTTAAAAATTTTCAAAAAAATGTGCGAAAATTTTGGTTCTTCAGTCCTTCGTATTTTATTCGGAGTTGTTGGCATATCATATTGTTTTATTAATAATGTCCCAATATCAATGAGATATTTCACAAAATTTGTATTCAAACATTTTGGATTTAAAGTTTGTGTCTTAAGTCTTTTGTTTGGCAAAATATTTTATTTATTCACTTAAGTAATTTTTTTAAAATGACATATACTTTTTGTCTAATATTTCAATTTTAATTTTTGCAAAAAAAATGTAAATCAAGTTTGTGTCTTAGGTCTTTTGTTTGACATATAAGGTTATTTTTTTTTTTTTTTTCAGGAATGTGAGTTTGTTTTTCTAATTTCAAAAACATGAAATTTGAAGTTTTAAGCGAAACACACATTTTTTTTTGTTATAATACGTTTTTTTAACTTCTAAAATATTTGGAAATCTACCATTATTGCACTCACTTTCTTTTCAAAATTTTCTTTGGTTTACAATTTTTTTTTATATATTTTTGTTTTTCAATAACTCTTGTTTTTTTTTTCAATTTCAAGATTTTTTCTTTTTCCACATTTTTAATTTTTGTTTCTTTACACTTTTTTACTGTTCATTTGTTTTTTTTTTTTTTTTGAGGAGAATTCTTTTTCTTCCTTCAATTTTTTGTTCACAATTTTTTCCCAAATAGCGTTACAATTGCTTTAAATGGTGTTTAATTAAATTTTGCGAAAAGAAGATGGACAAATTTGAAAAATTGTTTTTTTTTAAGAACGACCGACTTAACGCGCACCAATTGTCTTGGCTAACTGTTTTGTGAGAGAATTCATTTTAATTTTTTTGGGGGGCTGGTGATTGTTGTTCTTGAATCAATTTGATTTAATTTTGCTAACCTTTATTTGTTATTGTTGTTTTTTTTTTTTTTGGTTTTATTTAAGGACTGCATTTAAATTGTTTTAAATTTTGTATTGGGTTCTGGTTTAAACCGGAAGTTTTTGTTTTGTTTTATTTTATGTGTGTTACATTACAACAATGAAAAACAAAAAAACAATTGCAATAACAAATTTTGTTGTAATTTTATTTTTTCCAAATTTAAAAGCTGTTATTGGTGTTGTTATTTTTTTTTTAATTGTGAATGAATGACAGAACCAAAAAAAAAAAATACAAATGAAAACAACAACTGATTTTGGTGATTCGGAAGATGAGGCTGCATACTTACGTTTTGTTTGTTGTTTTTGGTTGTGCTTGGCAAGTTTTGGGTTACAACAAGTATTATTTGAAATTATGTTGTTGTTGTTGTTATTGTTAATATCACAATTTACTTATTTTTTGTGGTTAGTTTTTCTGATTAAAGAATTTCTTGTTAGTTGACTTTTGTGTTGGAAATTAAACGATTCTTTTTTTTCTGATTAGATTTAAATTTAATTTCTTTTGTTTACCGTTAGCTCAAGTTATTAAGTTTAACGCTTGCTCGCACAAGTAAAAAAAAAAAACAACAACACTACAACAAATCCAATTTTGTGTTAACGCCTAACTTCGGAGGAGTTTGGTTTTTTTTTTCTTTTGTTGTGTAGTGTTCTTTGCTTTTGCGGACAAATTACTTGCGACTGACAGCAAACAGACAGACAGACAGACCGACCAATCGACCGAGATAGACGACAGACAGACAGATAGATAGACAACGTATCGACCCGCTTTTCTTAGTCCACTAGAACCGATCTATCCGACAACAAGAATTAAACTGAAATCTATAGCCAGCCAGCAATTTGCTCATTTGAGTTTTTAAATAAACTTGAGATTGAGATTCTGTCGAGGTGATGCTGCTGCCGAGCAGTGGCTGCGACGCTGCGACCAATGGCTTAGCTGCTGAATTGGCGAAAAAACCCAAGTTGTGTGTGTGAATAATGTGTTAACGTAAAAATCAGCCACTCCATTGTTGTTGTCTAGGTTTGCTGCAAAATTCGTTGTTGTTGCTGCTGCTGTTGGTCTCTTGACATTGTTCCTGTTGTTGTTGAACTTGTCAACAGGTTGTTGTTTTTCTAGTAGCCGCTGATGACGGCTGCGTCAGCGTCCACGTCATTAGCATTTTTCTGGGGGAGCAGACGTGCCGCCATCGTTTGGCTTTGATTTTGCACGTCTCACGTCTACGCGGATTTTTGCCAGAGCGGATGGATGTGGCTGGAGTTTCCTAGCCCAGCAATGGTTTTGCCAATTTTTTGTTTGTTTGTTGATTTGCTGACTTGCTATCTGAATTGGCCGTATTATACGATTCCATCCAGCGTCAAACACATTTTTTATTGATATGGTATGGAATTCTATTAAGCTGACTGCCGGATGGTTGTTATTGTTGTTCTTTGTTTGCTCACTTCATGGTGTTGTTGTTGTTGTTGTTGTGATAATTGTTTATGATGTGTTAAGTAACGCACGCCATGCACGATTCATTTTATTCTTTTCATAATCTGCCCGCTCGCTCACTCACGCGTCTGCACGGTGGCACTTTTGTTATGCGTGCTGTAGATCGATCTGTTGGAACGAACAAACGAACGAACGTTCGTCTGTCTGTTTGTTTGCAGAATATTAATTTAAAATTTTTCTTTGGTATTGTTTGTTTTGTTCTTGGCGGCATATAAAAATTTTGTCGTGCATTTTGGAATCTTGACGGCAAATCGTCTTCCATTCTTTGATAACAAAATTTAATTGAATTCAATTTTCAATTTTTCTAAAGGCATAGAGATATTATCGTTTTCAAAAAAAAAAATGAACCTCAACCATTTAATGAAGTCTATAAATCTGAAAGAAATATAATGGTATGCCTTCAGGCATTTTGAAAGTCTTTTTTTAAATTCAAGAGGCGTTACTCTTTTCTGTAAAAGGGAGTAATGGTTCATTGATTTCCATTAGGCTGGCGTGTGAAATACACTGGGAAGAGGTAGCTGCTTTCGTTACAAGATTCTTGGCCATGGATGAAAACAATTTTTTTTTTAATTATTTTAATTAAAGGTTTTCTATCGTCAGTGGAAGAGCTACAGGTCTTCTATGCTCCCATAGAAGAGCTACAGGTCTTCTATGCTCCCATAGAAGAGCTACAGGTCTTCTATGCTCCCATAGAAGAGCTACAGGTCTTCTATGCTCCCATAGAAGAGCTACAGGTCTTCTATGCTCCCATAGAAGAGCTACAGGTCTTCAATGCTCCCATAGAAGAGCTATAGGTCTTCTATGCTCTCATAGAAGAGCTATAGGTCTTCTATGCTCCTCATAGAAGAGCTAATAGGTCTTCTATGCTCTCATAGAAGAGCAATAGGTCTTCTATGCTCTCATAGGTCTTCTATGTTCCCATAGAGAAGCTACAGGTCTTCTATGTTCCCATAGAAGAGCTATAGGTCTTGCATGCTCCCATAGAAGAGCTACAGGTCTTCTATGCTCCCATAGAAGAGCTACAGGTCTTCTATGCTCCCATAGAAGAGCTAGGCTTCCATAGAAGAGCTATAGGTCTTCTATGCTCCCATAGAAGAGCTATAGGTCTTCTATGCTCCCATAGAAGAGCTATAGGTCTTCTATGCTCCCATAGAAGAGCTATAGGTCTTCTATGCTCCCATAGAAGAGCTATAGGTCTTCTATGCTCCCATAGAAGAGCTATAGGTCTTCTATGCTCCCATAGAAGAGCTACAGGTCTTCTATGCTCCCATAGAAGAGCTACAGGTATTCTATGCTCCCATGGAAGAGCTACAGGTCTTCTATGCTCTCATAGAAGAGCTATAGGTCTTCTATGCTCTCATAGAAGAGATAGTCCCCCATAGGGGAGTTACAGCTCTTCTAGGTCCCCATAGGAGAGTTATAGGTCTTCTATCTTCCCACAGACGAGAGTAAGCTCTTCTACCTTCCCAGAGACCAGTTAAGGCTTTTATATTTTCCTAAAGGTGAGTTGAAGCATCTCATCGAAAGGCTGGAGCTCGTATATTTGCCCTAGAAAAAAAATAAGCTCTTTTAGTTTCTTTTCGATGATCTAAAGTTCTTCTGTCTTATACAGAAAGTTGTCTATCGAGCTGATGACATGTAATAATATTCAGTTTCCTTTAACCATGATCTGAGTTCTCTTATACATTGCTGTGTCAAGTGAATATTTATTCAAATTTTATTCTCAGATTTTGCCAATTTATGTCATAAACAAATTAAGCTCACATAAAAATAGATTTAATATTCGGATTTTTTGGGCTAGAATTTTTGTGTAAAATGATACGTATTTTAAAGATGGGCTGCTCCAAGAACTGGAATATAGTTTCTCTTTTCTTGAAAAAAAAAATAATAATAAAACATATAAATACAGTTTATATGTTATTTTTTTAGTTATTGTAATAAATGTCAAAAAACCAGACAAACTTCACATTTGGCGTTATTCATCATCACTGTCGGGCGATGTCTGGGATTGAAATGCCAGCCGTTGTTGCTGCTTGTTTTGTTTAAGAATTTCACGTTTTTTTGCTTTATTTGGAAAATCTACCCAGTCCGGTGACTCATTTCGAAAAGAATTCATTTTTGAAATTAATTAAGTTTAAGATGAAAAAAAACATGGTTCTTGGAATTACTGGCGTCGATGATGATACATTCCATAAAGATGTCTTAGCATGTTCCATACATTGTGAAAACTTGTAGAGCGTTTAATTCTTGGGAAAATGTGTAGAATATGTTGTAAAATGTTCTTTGTAAGGCAAGACTTCCTCCCGCCTTATGCCGTATTATTTATATTATTCAGTATTTGTTTGCATAATAGTTATTTAAATTTATTTCTCGCCTAAGTTATGATGAGAGAATAAACTACCAACATTAGTTATATTTTATGACTTCCTGAGTATTTTTTCGGTATTTCATTTTTATTAAAAAATCCCCAAAATAGCTATGATAATTGTTCTACAATAGGGGTACTTTTTATACCCTACACCACAAGGTGGTCAGGGTATTATGTCTTTATGCATTTGTTTGTAACAGGCAAAAGGAAACGAGATAGACCCATAGTTCCTTTTGATGATCTGCATAGAATCACTTTCTGAATTGATTTATGCATGTCAGTCCGTCTGTCCGTCCGTCCGTCCGTCTGTCCATGTATTCTTGTGAACAAAATGCAGGTCGCATTTATTATCCGATTAAGATGAAATTTTGCAAACAACATTTGTTTGGCCCAAGGACGAACCCTATTGAAATTGGAGATAATCGGTAAAAATTTAGATATAGCTCCCATATATATCTTCGTCCGATTTGCTTTTATTGTGCACCAAACGTGTAATATCAGCCCGAATAATATGGAATTTTGCACATACAACCAAATTAGGCCTGAAAATAAGTATGCCAAATTTTATCGAAATCGGTCCAGATATAGCTATAGCTCCCATATATATTGTTCATCCGATTTGTTATTTTTGTCCTCCGCAGCCGTAATATGCACTCTGTAACAACAATATTTGGGGAAATATATCAAATGCAGCTCAAAAATACCTTTGCTAAATTTTATCGAGATCGGTTCCGATTTGGATATAGCTCCCATATATAACTTCGTCCGATGTACCTTTTATTTTGCACCAAACGTCTAATATTTGCCCAAATGGGAAATGAATTTGGCACATACGACCGAATTGAGTCTAGAAGGTAGTATGCCAAATTTGGTGAAAATCGGTTCAGATATAGCTATAGCTCCCATATATACTGTTCATCCGATTTGTTGTATTTGTTACCCACAGCCGTAATATGCACTCCGTAACAACGATATTCAGGGAAATATATCAAATACAGCTCAGAAATATCTTTGCCAAATTTTATAGCGATCGGTTCTGATTTGGATATAGCTCCCATATATATCTTTATCTGATTTCAAGTTAATTTTGTACCAAGTGGACAATATAAGTCCGAATTTAGAAGATACAAATGCTTCGGCATATTTAGTTCTTTGAATTTTAAATTATAATCATAGCGTGTATGATTGAATTCTCCCATAAAAACTTTTAATTGTTATGCGGAGCTCTACTAAATTAGCAAAGTGGTGTAGGGTATCATAAAGTCGGCCCCGCCCGACTTTTAGACTTTCTTTACTGGTTGTAGATGAAACAAGTTAAAAAGTATCAGTGGGTTTTACCCTCAGCCAATGTTCGATTATTTAAATATATATTGTGATCTCTGCTATGATTTTTCAAATTGTTGACCCTCTATGGAGTGGGTTCCTAAGGAATGGCTCAACTTTGTCCATTTCGTATCGGACCAAAATAAATATGACATAAATATTGCGAAGTGCCAGGTTTGGACTATATCGACTACTTTCTTCACTTTATGATAATTTGTAGAAAATTTTGAAAAGTGTGTGAGGTACCAGATGCAGTCGACGGAATTATTCCGGGTAGGAGGGTATATTAACTTTGTCATTCCGTTTGTAACATCCTTAAATATTCGTCTTAGACCCCATAAAGTATATATATTCATAATCAGCATAAAATTCTAAGCCGATTTAACGATGTCCGTCTGTCTGTCTGTCCGCCTGTCTGTTGAAATCGCGATACAGCCCACATTATTTGACGTAGAGCGCCAAAATTTAGCATAGCTATGTGCATTGTGTCTAGGATGGTTGGTATTGAAAATGAGATATATCGGCCGACGTTCTGGTATAGTCCCCATATAACGGTACCTCCCGATATTCGGTATTTTGATGATTTATGCCACATTTTTTCACGGATTTGTCTGGAAATTGGTATTTGTAGGTCATAGC